TATAGAAGTAATCTATACTTTCTAATGATAGGTATTAATGTGAGTGGTTGGAGATTTACCTTGAATATTACAGTTGGTCAAATTGAACTTTATTTTGTCGACAGAAGTATCCCTTTTTATATCTTGATGACTTGTTAGAGATGTGGAACACTGAGTTGCTTTACTTGGATGCATGTTTTTTGAATAGCTTATTTACCACTTCTGTTGCTAAATAAGTGGTACCTCATTAATTTGTGAAATTGCTTATTTTCAAGTTTGAAATGGCTACAATTGTGAATATATTTGCCTCCTTTAGAAATAGACCATTGGATCCTTATTGACATCTGTAAAAAATTATTATTTTTGTTCTGTTTGCAGATGTAATGATTATGTCAGGGCATGGAAGCGTTTAACTATCCATCAAGCTCCAAACGTACTTACAATTGCTTTAAAGAGATTCCAGGTAATATTTAATTTTTGTTGCTGGTAGACTTGAATATCTTTTATCTTCCTGACGGTTATCCTGGCTATCTTCAAATATAGGATCATATAGCTTATTGTTTCTGTTGCAGAGTGGGAGATTTGGTAAAATTAATAAGAAAATTATTTTCCCTGAAAGTCTGGATCTTAGCCCATATATGAGTGAGGGAAGAGATGGCACGGATAAATACAAGCTGTATGCAGTTGTGGTCCACGTGGACATGTTAAATGCATCTTTTTTTGGCCACTATATCTGTTACACAAAAGGTTTTCAGGGAGACTGGTACAGAATTGATGACTGCAAGGTAACACTGCACATCCAACTATGTTTCTTGTTGATTAGCCTTTTGTAATTATGAAGCTTTTCCCTGAACCATTTTGCCCTTGTTGAGTCCCAATCAGTAACAAATTATGTTAATTTCAGACGATTTTTTTTAATCTTTGTTTTTGAAAAAGATATCCATGTTTTTTTGGAACATATCTACTCAGTTTTGCAAGATTGAGCATCTTTTCTCTTTCTTTATGTTTGCTCATTTGTGTTTCTATGTTTTGACTTTACCTTGTGATTGTGCATTTTGGGTGACCAAATGCATTTGTGATGTGTCTATGTATAGATTGTTCTTTTGTCTGATTTCTCTATAAAAAAACGCTTAATGATCCTTAATTTCCAGGTGGCGAGGGTTGAATTAGATGAAGTTCTTTCACAGGGAGCTTATATGCTTTTATACAGAAGGTATACATTTCTCCTCCATGCTTTTGTTTGAGGGTGTCAATCATACTATTTCTCTCAAGTATACAAATGGGGAGGAAGGTTGATGTCACTGGATTTAAAATGCTAGAATTCTTTGATATCCAGAATTCTACAGTAAGAAATTAGTGCCGTCCAGTCCAGTATAACAATTTCAGTAGCCTATCAGTGCTGCTTGATATTATTTAAGGCCGCTTGGGCCTTTACTCTTGGCCTGAAATTGTATTTGAGCAAATGAATCTAAGCTACTAAATAAAAATATGATTAGCTGGAAAGGGTAAAGTATGATAGGTTGACTTATTCCATCCTTACATGTCATCCCTATTTGATTTGCTTCTACCTTGCTGACCTAGCCTGGCACTGATGGCTGACATGATGTAATCCAGCTTGTCAACCACCCTGAGTTTAAAACTAAAATCAGTGAACCATATGCTTGTGGTTGTATAGGGGCCAAAATTGGCCAATGGACACCTTATTTTTTTCAGGCACTGACTCTACCGCCAATGCCCCTCAATCTCTTGCACTATGTTTCTATTTTAGTCTTGCTTTTAATTATAAGATTCACTCTTGAGGGTATGCAATGATTTCTGGGATTGACAGGAAATTGACTATATGTGATGAAATAGTAAGAACTTGTTCTCTTCACCTAAAATAAGGGTTTAGGTGTGATCTATTAAGGCCTGGTGTATTTGGTCTGAATTCCTCGATTGTTTTGGTCCAATGTACTGGTCTAACTAAGCTTCGACTGTATTTTTGCACTAATATATAAATTGTAGTGGTAAATTGTTGGATTTATCTCAATTTGTACATTCCAAATATGTAATTTCTATATTTAAAAAAAAATCACAATTAAAGATATTTAGTAATAAGTAAATGCATGTTTAAAGTCATTGTTCGATTTGATTCGAATATAGTTGGTCTGATTTGGTTCGAATATAGTTGGTCTGATTTGATTCTGATAAGAATGTAACAAGTTAATGAAATAAATTGAAACTCCTGTCCCACCGAGGCTTGGAAATTTGCCAAATGTCAAAAGAATCCTTGTAATTTGATCAAGAAATAGTCAATATTTATTTTATCTGTTTCCTCACTTTTAGTTATTTCTAGATAGACATGTTTGTGTGGGTGACTTATAAACATAATTGTTATTGTACTTCCTTTCTTAAACGTATTTTAGAATCTAGATTATTTCCATGCCATTCTTGTACTTTATAATGTTCAGGTTATGGAATGATATGAAAAATGATTTGTTTGATGGTCATATGTCCATTTTTTATGTAATGGTATATGTATTTACTTTTATTTTAATTTCTCTAATATATACTACACGATTGTGGAGCCTGGTCTCTGTTAAAAATTGGCAGTCAATATCCTGTAATTGCTATATAGAGAGATATGTAGACACAAATGCTTGTGAAGGAAGTTAGGTACCCATTAAATATAGTGGTTATTGTGCTAGAAGGCCCTTGGCTGAACCCAAATGCGCAAATATAACCAAACTCTGTATCGTTGATGGAGCATCAGTGTAGCTTCTAATACTGATGTTATTTGGCAAAGTAGAATACTTTGTCCATGGTGAGCTGGTGGTGGGGGGTGTTGAGAAGTGATTGTATTACTACTAAGTGAAGCCTTAGTTTGTCAGTATTCTTTGACACCTAAATTCATCCCCTTTCTATCTTATGGTCACTTATTGGGCTAATGGGAACATGACATCTTTGAAGTTGTCACTTGCTAATGTAATACGAAGTATGTTCTATCTTATTATTTTCTTTCATAATTATTAAAAAATTGATACATCGTAAACTTATTATATTACCAGTAATCAGATGAGCACATATTGCTGGAGCTGTCCTATCTCATAATACCATGTGAATTTTGTTTGGCATTTAATTTGAAAGTAGGTACTAGTAATGGCTTGTTTTGTGCTGCCTGTCGTCTGATTAATCTATTTCTGATTAATTCATTTGTTAAAGACTTCCGAGTATCTTGTTCCTGTGTGCTTCTGGAATTGGGTTGCATAGTTTTCTGTTTATTATCAGCTTAGTGCATGGAAACTGTATTTCTGAAATTGCTCCTCATGGGACAGGATTTCTGCTCGACCAAAATGTTTGAAGACATCCGAACCTGCAATAAATCAGCAGCAGGATGGGAGGAAGTTGTCCACTGAGGCAGAGAATAGTAGCTCAACCCGACAGGCTGATTCTTTAAATTCTTTGGAAGTGTCCAATTCCAATTGCAGTTCGGCCAATCATCTAGATTCTGATGTGAACAGACAGTTGGACCACACTCATACTCCAGCAGAACAATTGAAACCGATTGACAGCGACTTGGAGGACTTTCAGACTGTCAATTCTGTGTCAGATCTACCAGTTTCAGTTGAAGTGTCGGAGAATGGAAATTGTTCTTTGAGTACACTCACAGCTGTTGCTGCCCAAACGGTTTCCAGCTCTCCGTCGTGTTCAAGTGCAGAATTACCTGGTGAAGTTTCAGATATCCCTGGATCATCTGCTATGGGTGGGAATTTATTGAGTGAGGCCTCACGTGAGGGCTTAGCAGCTTTAGCTGTAGCTGCTGCCTCAGTGTCTGATGTAGAAGCTGTTTGTTTTCCAGCTGATTTCTCGGGTTCCACTGGAAAACCTGAAGAGCATAGGTTTGAGGATGAAAACAATTCTCATGTAGCTGGCATTTCTGAAAATTTTGTTCCCGTCACCTCTGACCCAACCGTCCCTTGTGAGATGAACTGCTACAGTAATGGATCTGTTGCAGGATATCCTCACCATAAAGTTGACGAGAGGATGGATAGTGAGATGGGCTATCTTGGCCTTCTTGACAAGGAAGAAAGTGAGGTATCTCCAGATGGCATGGATTTGGACAGTGTGGAGCTTAATGAGCCTGATAACCGTTCTAATGGTAACATCCACGACATTACAACTGATGAAAGTCCTGTTAATTCTTGTTAGGTCCTGCTGCTAGATAAAGAAATGCCTTTTTGCGTGCATGGCTAGGTCATTCAGAAGCCTATCAGTATATTGGAACTTCTGCATACCTCTGTTATAGGATGTATGACTGTTGCAGGAAGGCAGTTTGGAAAGTTTTACTTGGAGCAAGTTAGGCCTGTAATTATCTATTTTTTCCTGTTGCAGAGGATAAATCCGAGCAGCAACAGCGGAGGAGCCTCCATTGCGTGATTAATTAACAAATTGTTCGATTACTAAGATTATCATAAAATTAGATTTAGTATAAGAGTTGAAGCAAGAAATAGTTCAGAGATAACTTTTTTTTTTTTCCCCATTGGTTTCCCCCCAAGTTTTAGGAATCATTATTTAGTAGATAATCCTCGTTTAGAAACTGATTTAGGGCAAAGTCCTGGATTTCAGTATTAGAAGGAATCTTGGATGCTAACCTTCCAAATTCTTGAATGTGTTGGTTACTTGGCATTTGGACAAGTACGTTGAGCACTTGAATATGCTATGAATTTCTTTTTGATTAGGCAACCATAGGCTTATTATTTTGATATAAACTTGTTTTGGCCATAACTTCTGGATCTAAATTTATTAATTGATTTTGCAATTGTATATTTTTTATTTCTTATAGGAAAGATGGGAGTATCTATAACTCTATAAGGTTATAATACGAGTAACAAATTTTGGATTTTTTTAGTTGTAATAATTTCTTCCATGTATTCTTTCAAGGCAGCTTAAATTTCCATGTATTCTACAGATGATTTAACAAATTTATCTAACTGGAGAAGTTGTAGTTGCATAAGATTTGTATCTATTTCTGCTTAAACAACAAAAATACATAATATCGGAGTATTATTCATATATCACTCGAGCCAATAACTAGTTTATAAGGTTTTACATCCGAAAAGGATTCATCAATGTGTCATTCTTTAGAGATCTGACTTACCTATACCAGTCTACCCTCACTCACTTTAGTCTGCTAGCTTGTTTTGTATTGTATCCTTAGATGTTGGCGAAGTGCATTAACAATGGCAGCTTACATCAAACTTTGATCACTTTACTCGATCACCCCACCATTTCATTTCCATTACTCAGCCAAATCCATGCTTTATTGATTTCTTCTGGACTTTCAAAGCGCCACCCTTTTGCCTCCAAACTCTTCTCTTTCGTTGCAGATTCTGGCAATGCTGATTACACTCACCGATTACTGCTGCACAACCCCAGCAACTCTGTTGTGCATTGGAACAGAGTTATCAGGCTTTTCTGTAACACCCCAACTCCCTATAATTCCATCAATGTTTTTGTTGAAATGCAGCGATTTGGGGTTGTTCCTGATTACTTCACTTTCCCTTCTTTAGCTAAGGCCTCGGCACGCCTCTGTTCGATTGAACATGGGGTGTCTTTGCATTGTGTTGTGTTCAAGAGTGGGTATGAATTGGATGTTTTTATTCAGAATTCTCTCATTCATATGTATGCTTCATGTGGAGAGATTTTGTATGCACGTAAGGTGCTTGATGAAATGCCTCAAAGGACGACTGTAACATGGAATTCAATGTTGGATGGGTATGCCAAGTGTGGGGATTTGGAAAGGGCGAAAGAAGTGTTTGAGTTTGCTCCTGTTAAAGATATCGTGTCGTGGAGTTCTCTTATTGATGGGTATGTTAAAGGGGGTGAGTATGGAGAAGCTATGAAGGTCTTTGAGAGGATGAAAGTAGAGGGGGATATTAAGGCTAATGAGGTGACTATGGTGAGTGTTTTGGGTGCATGCTCTCATTTAGGTGCCCTCGAGCAGGGTAGATCAATGCATCGTTACATAATCGAGAATGAATTGCCTTTAAATCTTGTGTTGTTAACTTCTCTTGTGGATATGTATGCCAAATGTGGAGCAATAGAGGAGGCCTTGGTTTTGTTTAGAGGGATACCAAAGTATAAGACTGATGTTTTGCTATGGAATGCTATCGTTGGAGGGCTTGCAAGCCATGGCTATGTGCAGGAGTCATTAGATTTATTTGCAGAAATGTTAATGGTACAAGTTGTGCCTAATGAAATAACTTACTTGTGTCTCTTATCTGCGTGTGCTCATGGAGGATTGGTGAAGGAAGCTTGGGAGTTTCTTGATTCTCTCGAGAGAAGTGGCATGAAACCCAAGTCCGAGCATTATGCTTGTATGATAGATGTTTTGGCAAGGGCAGGTCAGGTGGTAGAGGCTTATGAATTTATGAACAAAATGCCTTTGGAACCAACCCCTGCCACATTGGGTGCGCTCCTTAGTGGTTGTATGAGCCACGGAAGGTTAGACCTTGCAGAACAACTAGGGAAGAAGCTTGTTGAAGTTGACCCTCACCATGATGGCAGATATGTGGGCTTGTCTAATGTGTATGCTGCGATAAAACGTTGGGATGAGGCAAAGATGATGAGGCAAACTATGCACATCACAGGGGTGAAGAAGTTTCCAGGCTTCAGTTATGTGGAAATTTCAGGGGCCCTTGAGATGTTTAAGGCACATGATAGATGGCATCCAAAGTCGGCAGAAATCATTATGATGGTAAATTTTATTTTTAGGCAAATGAAAAAGGTTTCAGATTGTGATGGAGGGAACATGTTATACTAGGTTGCTGAAGACCTGGGTTTAGATGAAAGAGTGAAGGCAGTATGGTGTTTAGATGGTTTCCAATGGTTTAAGCTATAATCTCCTTATGAGCTTCATATTCCCTGCATCCAGCCATTCTGGAGGAGCTGCATAAAAATACTTCACACGGCCGACACGGGGAAAGATTTTGAGGGTCACGGTTGAGTGGAGCCTTAGGCTGTTGAGCAGGACATGTTTCTGTTTCTTCTTCGCCACCTTGGGTCGGTAAAAGCTTTAGACATCGACTTGTACTTTTGAACAGACAATATGGATGTCAGATTGAGGATAAAAGAAAAGGTTGCAGTTTTCTAGTACAATCAACTGTCAGTAGCTAAATGGATGCTTTTCTCATGAGTGCTGAATCGAAGGTGCATTCCTAATTTTTATCATACTGGTAAGAGCTTTGATTTCCGTTGGTTCTAGCAGGAAAAACATGAATGAGGTGACTCTTCTCTATTTCACACCAGATAACTGTTAATGTTGCTAGATAATCTGCTTGATTTTCTATCTTACATAATCTTTCTTTGATAAAGTGGTCACCTGTAAGAAACTTGTGCTTTTCTTGTTGAATAAAATCTTAATATCAATTTCTGTCATTTGGTTTGTTTTTTTCATAATAGTGGCCAAACCAATGCATGAATATCAATCCTTGTGTTCAAGATTTCAAATTTGAATGCAATCTCTAGTACAAACAGAGTAGGAGTGTACACTTTTGCAAAGACCTATCTAGTTAAGCTTACGTACTTCAGTTTACTTTGTTTGACAGAGAACCATTAGTCTCCTAAAAGCATTATTCGTAGGTACTACCGCCCTTGCCTTATTCATTTTTCCTAATATCGCAGTTCTTTGATCTTCCAGACCAGTGATTCTCTGAGAATTAATGTACATCAATGTTGACTCCGGAGGCTGGAGCCAGCAATATGGACCTAAACATTATTCTTCATCAATTGTGCTATTATTCTGCTTCTGAATTCCTGCTCAAAAATCATCAATTGAATTACTTTATATAATGTAATTGCATATTCAATATTCTGCATTTGTCACCCTTTATAACCAAGCACTAGTTCTCAATCATTTGGGTGGTAAACAAAAGGATTGAATATCCTTATGTTTATCTCCATATTATGAGTTATTTACTTTGAATGCATGCCAGCTAGTTTAATTGTCAAATTCTGATGGTGGTTCCCAGGATCAAATAAGATGATGAATTCAAACTTGAGCTGATCACCCTATGATTTTATTCCAATAAAATACATAGCTTCTGGTACTTAAGTCTTAGTTCTTTCATGCTTATAAGAAGTACGAAATGATTAAGATGTATTAGCAGATGTTTCAAGGGGAAGACGAAGATCACTTACCATAGCATTTCAAGATAGGCCTTTTCCCAATTTTAAGGAGCTGAAAGCTAAGTATATCTCCAGGATTAAGATTGTTTGCAACCTGAAAATAACTCCATCCTCTTCTAATGTAGCATTGACGTCTATTTCTATTGAAACTCAGCCTCACTTTCCAAGACATACCATCTACATCTACCAGTGTCATGTTATAATTTCTGTTTTCAAAACCATTTGTTCTTGAAAAGCGCATTGGAAGATACTGCATAAGAATTCATCACAAAATTGTCAGGTAATAAAACAGTTTCTGATATAATTTTTGTAATGCTTTCTTCATTACAAGTATTCGTGAATTTAATTGAGAACAGAGCCTAGGAATTTAAAATACGAGGTTCACTTACAATAAATTTCATTTTAAAGCAGTAGGAAGTGAGAGTCACATGACAACGTGAAGTTTCTCCAGCAGCAGCAAGGCCAACAACAAAATCTAATGGTTTTCTTTTTGAAGTAGACTTGTTCTTCAATACCTTCCTCTTTTCCAAACCTAAATACATTAATAAAAAAATAAAAACAATTTAAAGTAACAACGACAATAAAGCCTTAGTCCCAAAATATTTTGAGGTCGGCTAACAAACTTTAGTAACCCTATGTTTTATAATTGGTAAAAACAAACAAGAAGATATATATGAGACGGAAGTAGTAACCTTTGCAATTATGGTGGCGGTGGAAGGTAGGGGAGTATAGGCGCTGACAAGCAGTAGTGGGATCAAAGACCTCGACTTGGAAGAGGAGTTGGCTTTGATGTATAAACACCAAAAAATCACCCATTCCTAGTTGATTGTAGAGACAGAATTCTTGCCATCCATCTTTGAAATAGCGACCGCCTTCGATTTTAACATCCCAATGACGTTGTGAATCAGTCATTAGCACCACACTCTTGAGTGGCTCACCCTGCAATTCCTCCTCCAAGTGCCTCAGAAATGATACTGGAATTGACTGCTTGATAAACAAGTACCACTATCAGTGCTGGAAAATGGATATATCAAAAATTTTATCTACTTCTTTCATAATGTATTTTATAAATATGGAATTTAATGGTCAAACATATGCATCGACAACATGTAATATTCAAAAAGATCGAAGGGAGTATAAAATGTAGAGGAAGAAACACTGACAAAGGAATTAAGGAAACCGGCAGTGAGGGGCTGCATGAATCGAGCATGTGTTGAATTTTCCATGTCTTGGAATTTCTTGAATCTGGAATTTTGGAAACAATAAGCTTTACTTCTTCATTACAGTTTTTAATATTTGGATTCCTTTAAAAATAAAATAAAAAAAAATAGAAATAAAAACAATGTTTTTTGAAAATGTAACTGTATGTCTGTATCTGACAACTGAAGTAACTATTCCTGTAGCAGTATTGATGCCGAAAACAAGGCTAGCCAAAAACACAACACATGGCTTACTCAACTGTTGATTGCCTCAAACTATGATGACAACAACACCTTCCAGTCTCCATGACTAGATCACATCCTGTAAGACTCAGACTTGGATTGATATGTCTAAAATCATCCATGAAAATTATCAGTTACACTTGGGTTGTAAGGTGCACTCAATTATAACTTTTTGCTCATTTGATGTATAATTGAGCAATAATTATCAAAATGAGCAAGAAATACCCTTGATTGCACCTTGCTGTTATAATTTTTTGCTCATTTGATTTATAAGAATTTCTGATCCATTCACAATTGAAACAACTTAAGAGGATAGACCTTTTGCATACAAGCATATTGAATAGGGAAATAAACTGTCCGGATCAAGTATCATAGGTATGTTAGGATGATCTTAATTACTAACATGATTCTAATTATTAAGTAACATATCCATTTTAATGAATAGTACCCTGGAATATTTTGAGTTAAACGAAGAAATATATTATATGCTATAATTCACGCTTTAGGATTATTTTCATAAAATTTGTTTCAAACTAAAATGAGTGTGTGGTGCATCCCAGGGTCATAAAACTTGGGTTGAGACCATAATATGCCTTTCAGTTGGTCTATAAAGCTCAGAGTACGAGTTTGGTTCAATCTTCCAACTACAAGATTATATTGTCGCATTAGCAGTCGGGAGATGCAAATAAATGTTCTTGATAGCAGAATGTCCCCCCCCCCCCCGACGTCTCATGGGGTTCATTGGAAGCTTCTCAACCTCTTTTCTTTCTATGCTTGGAAAAGTAAATAAAATGCCTACAACTAAAGATTATAATCCATGCTTTTGAGAAAATTTTGCCAAAAATAAAGTGATGTGTGGGCCATATCTCAAAGTCATAAAAATTGTGTTGGAACCATAATAGACCTTCCAATGGTTTTATAAACCCCATGAACTAACCCTACGAGCTTGTTTAAGATTCGCAACTATGACAGAATCTTATCGGGAGCTACAACATATTGTTCCAGACAATGCAATCCTGAGGTCTATCGGAGTCCATGGGAAGCTCCCCAACCTCTTTCCTTTCCATGCTTGAAAAAGCTGAAATTCGGTTAAAAAAAAATATGATCCACACTTTCAGGTCAATTTCAAGAAATTTCTATGAAAAATGAACTAAATGGCTAAATGCTCTAGGCTCATTAAAGTAGGCTTGGGATCATAACGAAATTCCAAAAGAGGCCTTTTTGGATCCAAAACCATCTAATAATCCTTTTGATATGAATTTAAGATGTATAAAATGAGTCTTACCTTTCCCTCAACGAAAAATATTGTGTAGAACAAACTCATGTGAGTCCGGTCTACTTAAAGGCCCGCGTGCGGCCCGTGTTTTAATAGTTTGGCCCGCGCGCGGCCCGACTATTAATTATCAATCATTTTTTGATATTTTTTTTTAAAAAAAAACGTCTTCCAACGTTCCGCCTTTCTCCTCCTTCTTCTTCCCCACGTTTTCTGCAGTTACACTCCATTACTCTCAACTTAACTACATTTTCCCTAAAATTTCGCATCACTCCTTCATTTTCTAGCTTATATTTTACTTGCATGTACTTAATTTTTTTTTTTTTACATAAACCCTAAATTTCGTCTTCCTCACCTACATTAATGGCTGGCCTTCCTCCTGTTGATGATTCTCCTTTAAAAGTTTATATGAAACGAACTAAACGATCATCAAAACAACCCCCGAAGATAGTTGAAATGCCAGAAAGGTTAATAAATTTTTTAGTTATTTTTTGCTTATTCATTTTTTAAAAAAAAATTGTCAGTAATTTTTTTTTTTATTCTTGTTCTTGTTTTGTAGGGATGATTCACAGCATCCTAAGAAGCGTGGTTCTAAACAAGGTTCTAAAAGAAGTCGATATGTGAGGTGTGATATTCGAAATAAATTCTTTTAAATTCGGAAAAATATTGTTTTGTATATTCAGATGCACGCCAGGTGTTCGATGAAATGTAAATTGTTGTTTTTACTTTGAATATTCTTGTGTAGGATTATGTTATTTTTGATGTAATTACATTAGTTGTAATTTTGATTATTTTGAGGATTGACTATTATATAGTCAGGAATTTTATTATTTATATCAGAAATAAGCATTTTATTATATTATCTTTAATTGTATTATTTTATTTTGATAATAGTATATGTTTTTCAGGATTTAGATGTTTTTCATCAGAAATTAAGTTGTTGTTGTCTGTATTCAAATTTATCATACTCAGGAATTAGCACATCTTAAACAGGAATTAGATTTTTTTGATCAGGTATTATGATATATTATTCAGGAATAAAATTAACTCAGTCAGGTTTAAGATTATATTAGTCAGGAAACAGATAATAATAGTCAGGAATTGTAATACCAATATAATGTGCAGTAATTAAATGTTTTAGATTTATAATACCCAGGAATTAGATTATATTAGTCAGGAATTAGATAATTTTTGTCAGAAAATAGATATGGATAGTCAGTTTAAGGATAATAATATTTAGATACATTATAACTCAGTCAGGTTTAAGATAATATTAGTCAGAAAATAGATAATAATACTCAGGAATTGTAATATCAGTATTACATACAGTAATTATATGTTTTAAAATTTATAATAGTCAGGAATTAAATGTTTAAAAAGATAATTATGCTAAGAAATAAGTTTACTGTTATCAGGGATAACATAATTTTTTTCAGGAATAAGTGTGTCTTATTCATGTTTTTTATTTTTCAGTGCTCTTACTGAAGATGATATTTCAGACCTTGAAATTGGTACTAAATCTGGTCCTAGTTATCTTTGTACAATTATGGAAGATTTTAGTGATGAGCAAAAGAAGGATGTTATAGACATTGGTTTTGGTGGATTGCTTCAAATGAATTTGCAGGACAATATCAGTCATCAGTTGTACAACTATATAGTAACTCATTTTAATCCTCATGCTAGAAATCTTATTGTTGGTAAAAAGGAACATGCAATTCATATTGATAGTTCTGATATTGCTGATGTGTTGGGTATTCCTTTTACTGATATACCTGTGAAAGAGATTTCTAAAATAAAGAAATCAATCAATCCTGATGAATATTTGAAGATAGAGTGAAGGAGGTTCTTGGGTTTGGATATAGAGGATGACTCTGAACAGGGAAATGAAGCTGAAGCACAGAAGCAAAAGAAGAGGAAAACAGAAGAAAAAGCTGTTCAGGGCATGAAGAAGAAGAAGACATATGTGAATATTATTACTTATAAGATGATGTTTGAGAAATATAGAGATGGTGGTGCTGATTTTAAAAAGCTGTTTGTTATGTTTGCTGTGTCTACATTTTTGGCTCCAATTGGTGATAAGTCTCCTAATTTTAATATCATCAAATCTTTAGAAGATGTGCGTTTCATTAAGTTATGTTATGGACTTCTTATGTGCGTCAATAGAAGATTTTCAAGCCTTTGTTTTGAAAAAAAAGGAAGGGAAGGAGTTGAAAACAAAATCTAAACAAGTAAATGGCTGTTTAGTTGCTTTTGTAATTTCATTTTTACAAAAGTTTGAGTTTGGGACAACTTTACATCGCAAGCCGTTTATTTTGAACTGGACCTGTGAGAGTTTGAACCAGAGGATTAAGTCTGTTGCTGAAAATATGGATTATGGTACTGTGAAACTGTACCCTGCTGCCTCACCAAAACAATATGCTGGCAAATCTGAACAGGCTCTTCTTAAAAGTTTAAGGCTGGACAGTATTGAGTTTAAGATTGAAGACAGTGATGAAGATGAATATTTGGATAAAAAAAAAGAAAGAAAGAAGGAAGATCAGGTTGTACAATCTACTAGCTTTGAATTGAAGGATATAGATGACAAAGCTAGATATGTAATGTACAAGATTCCTAAAGAGTTTCCTACTGATGCTGAAATTGATAATATGGATATCGATATAAGTTTAAACTGCCATCTTTTTATTATATTTTTAGATTTTGTATAATTTGCTTTAATTAGAAATTAGAATACTTTTATCAGGAATAATAAACTGTTATCAGGCTATTCAACATTAATAATTTCAGTTAGAAATTAGAATACTTTTATCAGGAATAATAAACTGTTAGTCAGGAATATGGTAAATTTTGTCAGGAAATTAATATATTAAAGTTGTTGATTTGATAATATATTATTATTGTCAGGATTTAACATTATAATATCAGGAATTATGTACTTTCTATCAGTAATTAGCATTTTCTAATATTTTATTTGGATTATAGTATATGTTTGTCAGGATTTAAATTCTTTTCATTAGAAATTAAGTTGTACTTGTCAGCAATAAGAAACTATTAGTTAGTAATATGAAACTATTAGTCAGGAATATGGTAAATTTGGTCAGGAAATGAAATTAATATATTAAGGTTATGTTTGATTTATTTACATTGCTGTAATTTGGGAATACATTATTATTGTCAGGATTTTCTACCATATTATCAGGAATTATACTTTTTCTATCAAAAATTAGCATTATCTAATATTATCCTTAAATCTATTATTTTATTTTGATTAGTATCTGTTTGTCAGGATTTAAATTCCTTTCATCAGAAATTAAGTTGTTTGTCATGAATAAAAAACTATTAGTCAGGAATAAGATAAACACTCTCAGAAATTAGATTACTATTATCAGCAATAAGAATTATGTTATTTTCTTACATTTTACTAATAAGAAACTATTAGTCAGGAATAACAATTATGTTGCTTTCTTACATTTTACTTATTCATTTTTTATTTTATTTGTTGATTAGCCTGTGAAGAAGAAAATGATGAAATTTGGTCGAGACTTGAAGATTGTATCAGAGAACCAAATAGACTTTGCTATTAATTTGAAGGATGAAGCAAAATCATATTCACAAGAATCTCAATCTCAAGGAGAGGATGATTTCTATTCTAATCCTGAATTTTTAGCAAAAATTGATGCAATAGTTGAAGCTGCAATGCAGACTAAAACTTTAGCTACTGATTTGGATCAGTTTGATAAAACAAAACTTAAGTCTGATGCAATTGTAAGTTTGATTACATTTATTATCATTTTTTTATGCTTATTAAAATCATATTAGATATATATCTGATATTATTCTTTATTTTGTATAGGTGAATGATGTTATTTCTGATCTTGGTTTGCAAAAAGATCTAATATAATTGAAGATGCAGAGCAAAATTTAGAGGATGCAAACCAAGGAAGCACGGAACCAGAGAATGAGGCAGATGATCTTGGTTTGAATAATGTTCAAGGAAGTGATGTTGAAGACACAACCGCAGAACCAGAATTAGTTGAAGGCACAACACCATCAGAAAAAGAGGTGCATTCAGTTAGTAATGAAGGTCTACTTAGTTCCACATCACCTCCAAGAACACCAAAGAAACCCAAGGGACTCAATGAAATTTATTCATCTGCTATGAATGAGAATCAGGCTAGGCTTGTGCAAGAAGGGAGGAGTTTCCTCAAGGGAGATACTTCTTTGCCTAGATTTCATTTAATTACTCCTACTCCTCCTACTTCTCAAGATACACCAGTATCCCAAGAAGAAAATGCACAAGTTACTGAAAAAGAAGTTCAAGAAACTTCTGAAAAAGAAAATGATAAAAACAAGGAAGATGACAGCACATCTAAGGTGTAATATTTGTATTTTATCCCACACATTCAATTCTTTTTTTTTAATGTCAAAAATTGACCAAAATTCGTGTATAGCCTTCAACTTTGGACAATTTTTTGACTTTTTTTTTTACCCGGAAACAAAAATTGCCGAGATGCTTACCATGGACCCTAATACACCCTGAGAATCTATTTGGATGGGTAACCCCATCCATTATGCTTTTGAACGGTCAATTTATCGGTTTACAACTTACACCGATTTCATTAACTAAACCCAACCACAGACATTTATGACATCATATAATGATCATATACGGTTCCAAACGACATTATATGACTTCGGGATATATCCATTAGTACTCGAGACTTTTCGACACCGGTTCCCAAAACCTCCAAAATTGCTCAAAAAACGTGGATAATATACTTCAAATTTGAGATTTTTTTACTTTTTTTGGCCCGAAAATAAAAATTATCGAGACGTTTACCATGGACCCAAATGCCCTCCGAGAGTTAAATTGGGTAGGTGAAACCATCCATTTTGCCTTTAAGCATCCAATTTACCAGTTTGTCTTAATTGATAATGGAATATGAGATGTGACACTTCGATTAAAAACATGTATAGTACTATGATGATTCCATAAAAGTATAAATACTATCCATAGTACGTCTATCAATCGACACATCAATCGACACACATGT